AAAAAAGGAACAAGCTCATGTCCTTTGCAGGGACATGGATGGAACTGGAAATCATTATCCTCAACAAACTAACACAGAAACAGAAAACCAAACACTACATGTTCTCACTTATAAGTGGGAACTGAACAATAAGAAGACATGGACACATGGAGAAGAACAACAAACGCTGGGGCCTGTGAGGGGTCGGGGGATGGTGAACATCAGGATAAATGGCTAATGTATACAAGGCTTAATACCTAGGTGATGGGTTGATGGGGCAACAAACCACCATGGCACACATTTACCTATGCAATGAAACTGCACATCCTGCACATGTATCCTGGAGCTTAAATTAAATTGAATTTGTAAAAAGTGTGTGTGTATGTGTGTGTGTGTGTGTGTGTGCACACGCGCACGCATGCGCACGTGTGTGTGTGTGTGTTTATCCCAAGAGCCAACACCCAGCATCTTTTTCAATGTGGGAACACCAAAGTTATTCCCACTAAAGTTAGGAACAAAGCAAAGATTCCTATAACCTGTCATAATATGTAATATATTGAATGCATTAATCAAGAAAATCAGACAAGATTGGGCAATGGAGAAATACTCTGTCTCAAAAAAATAAAAGATTTAACACAAACTATATTTGCATTTGATGTGATTGTGTATCTGGAAAACTTTAAAACTATTGAAAATTGCTATAAATGGTAAGAATTTAGCAAAATAGCAAGATACAAATTTAGCACACAATCAATAGCTTCAATTTGAGCAGGATAAATTGAAAGGGTAACTGTGTAATATGCTATCATTCCTGATTTTATTAAGAACTAGGATTCAGTGGGGGAAGGAGGTTCATACATAAAAGAGATTAGGTTAAGTAAAAACTCCTAAGTCTTCCATTTGAATTGGAAATATTAGAATGAACTCAAGATGTATTTTTTATTAAAACAAACATATTTCTTACCTTACCAAAAAGTCCTGTAAACAGTGACTAAACCACTAGCTATGGGTACACCAAGCACCCAGAATGTGGTCTTGAAAAACCATTCTCAGTAAAAAAAGACTCATAGTTCTTTGGAGAAATGTCTACTTCTAGATCCGGAACAGTAAATGTAGAAGAGAGATCTGAAACATCTTGTCACACCTGATAGAAAAGAAACTATCAGCTACACTAGTGTCAAAGCAACTTGATTCAGGACTTAAGCATCAATAAAGACAGAAACTGCTCTATATTGGACAGATTGGAATTATAAAATATGTTTAAATCGATGAATGCAAAATATTTCAGAAAAAGAAGTAACAAATGGATCCCATTGAAGGAAGGTAGTGAACCATCTTGTCCAAGTAAAATGATGAGTTAAAAGGTCACAAATAAAGCATCTATCTTGCCTTTTCTGTTAGATGTCTACCACTTGGTGACCAAATAGTAGATTAGTGGAAATTTCCCTTTAAGAATTCCTGATAATAAATAAAGAATGAATTAAAGAATTATGCTGGCCATATATGCAACCCCTCTTGAATTGCTGAGTTTAAGGCAATGATTATCAGTGGCTGCTACCACCACAAGCAGAGATAGTCAAATACTCAGTGCTAACTGATAGAGAAGACAGCACCAAAATGTGCCCCAAATCAAACCTAAATCTGATCAAGTCTTATATCCTCATGCTGATTTACACAAAATACAGAGGACAGAGGAGCACTGTGTTGGATTGCCCCACCACAGGAGCAATCAGTCAAAGCCAGATGATAGAAAACTCTAGAGAAAAAAATATATATGAGATTTTTCAACATACAGAGGGAAAAAGACGAAGGCAGAATCTGTAGATTAAAAAAGACATATCAACCAATTACAATGAGAGATCTTATTTGAATTCTGACTCAAACCAATTGAAAAACTAAATATGTGAACTTATTTGATAACATTGGAAATTTTCACACTGGATATTAATTACACTGAAGAATTATTGTTAATTTCTAGGTGGGGATTATGGTACTGTGGTTATGTTTTTAAAAGTCTTTTAGAGAGAGATGGAAGTAAGTGGATGACATAATGTGTTACCTGGAATTGGCTTCAAAATGATGTGAGCAGGGGAAGGGTTGGAGACAGAGAAGAAGCATGGTTGGCTAAGAGTTGATAATTGTCATGCCTGAGTGATGGGTATTTGGCTTTAATATACTATTCTGTCTACTATTATATATATTTAAATTTTTTATTGGAAAAAAATATTTGTAAAATATATATCATTGCTTAATTCTGTGTTCTCCTTGTTAGCCTAAAAATCTAAGCTCAAGAGTAGAGTGATTGGGATGTTGAGGTGCCATTTACAATTGCTAGTGCCCCACTTTCTCCTGTCAGTTAAACTACTGTTGCTCTCATATTAAGAACCTTTGAAGAATTTGATATGTCATTGATGAGTACAGGTATTGATCGACTTATGACCTATGCAACTTACAACCATTCGACTTTACAACCACAATCGCTAGCCACGACTGCGCTGCATCTGGCAGCGCAAACATTGCCCGGCTGGGCATACAACAGTGCGGACCAGCTTCCAGCAGCACTACCGTCTCCGCGTGCACCATTCCAACTGTTATCCCAGACTCGGTACAGCAATTTGTGTTTTGTGTCTTGAATATTTTTCATCAAACCCCTCCCAATAAACTTCTTATACATTTTGAAGCAATGGACCCAAACATCGAACGATTTGCAAGGATTGAACGGATGGCGCACGATGTGTTTCGTCCGTATCGTGAAATTTATGAAGAAAAAAAGAAACATACAATTCAGACAAAGCTCACCATGTTTATGAAAAAACCAACTCTGGTAACCCCAACTGCTGCCTCAGATGACGACATCAATGATCCGCAGCCAAGGACCAGCAGCCAATAAAATGTTTCATACATGTTTATATATTTTGATATATTTTGCAATTGGGAAAATGTTTCCTATGGTATTTTTTACACCTGTATTTTGTATTTTTGTATGCACCTGTATTTTGTAATTTTGTATGTTTTGCAAATATTAAACCAGTTATACTGGTAATGCAGTGTTTTACTTAAACCTGATGAATGTAAAAATAAGAAACAAAATGGTGTAGAGATGATACAAGTGGCATAAAATGAACAAAGAAAATTATGATATATAACAATAATGAAAGAAAATTATGATAAAATATGACTTAAAGATTTTTATAACATCATTTCACAGTACAGTACATATAACCTACTCAACCTACGACCAAATCGTGTTACGACCGGCCTGTTGGAACCAATCATGGTCGTAAGTCGAGCACTAGCTGTATATCATTTCAATGCATATAAGACAAAAACACTCCAGTAGATCCTACACTTACTGCTATTCCCAAAGGTATAAATTTTAGGAGAGACTTTTCTTTCATCTTTCCATACTAGGAGAAAATTATGAAAAAGTACAATTGAGTGAGTGTCAACTAAGGAAATGTTTTGCTTCCAATGATGCATCTATGCTCATATTTTATTTTAAAGGCACCAGATGCTCTGAGAGCTGGCCCAAAGCCCAGTCATGGCCCCTGAACAGAAGGCATGTCTCCCTCCCATTGAGCCCATTGGGGCACCTGCTGGACAAATGAAATGGGCCCAATGCCCACACGCATGCCTTCTCTGAGCCTCAGGTGCAAGCAGTGGGTCCCAGCACTACCCACTGTTGCCACTTAGAGCCTTTCTCAGTTCCCACAAAGACACAACACCATGTGTTTGAGAGTATCAGCTTCACCAAGGGGACAACGAAAGAGTGAAACAGTCCTGCAATAATGCGAAGAACTTCAGTGAGACCCATAGACATTCCTGTAGCCACTTTTGTGATTTTCACACAGGCCTCTCTGTCGCTGCCTGGCCAAACCTCTGTTCTTATTCCTCAGCAAGAAGCACCTCCCCCCCTTACCCAGGGCTTTTTACATTGAATTTCCTGGAGAAATTGCTTCATCACAGCCCAAATTACTCTTAGACTCATCTTTGTCTCTAGCTTATGTTGTGGAGGTTATGTAAGTAATATACGTGACCAAGCTTTGAAAATGATCATTGCTCCACGCGTTTGAATGTTTGGCAGAGCCAATCTTCCCAGAATTCATGCCCCCACACTGAAAGACACTGGGCTGTCTTAATTTTTGTCTGAACCATAAAAATGCTCTGGAATATGTGTTTCCCTAATGTGGCATCCACAGAAACCTTTGTCCCCAGTGCACCAGTGCATCACGCTTCACCAAGGTCACAATGGCGTCTGGCAAGGGATGGGTCATGAAGGCTTCTGGAATGTTGACATTTCAGTTGAAACATCCAATTCATTCACCAGGGAGCCCAGACACCTGCGATCTCCTCGCCAGGGTGGGCTTCCTCACCAGGCTGAACATGGTGGACACAACCTGACCTTTTTCATATTTAATCATTCGCCCTCTAAACAGGGATGTATAAATGTATGGGCAGTCAAGATTCTCAAGATCAGAACAGTATATTTGCCTATTGTTTTAATCCATGTCAATGATAATAATAGTAATGGTACATGTTCTTTCAGTATTATCTCACTTTATCCTTTCTGCAATTCTAAGGGGCAGGGTTGTTCTCCCCCTCATTGTTCAGATGTGAACAATAGTGTAGATGTACTTAATGCCATTGAATTGTACACTTAAAAATGGCTAAAATGGTAAATTTCATGTTATTTATATTTCTCTACGTAACTGAGATTGAATGTACTGATGTGGTATGTGCTAATAAAGTTTCAAACAGCTCCGTGCTGTGCAAGTGATCCTCACTGAAATAGAAATGCTTGCTAAAATGAGGAAAGCTGAGACAGCCCCTAGCCAGGCCCTGGGCATGGAAGCTGGTGGTCAGCTGGTGAGTAGGGACCTATAAGGCCCAGGAAGACAGAGTACATGACTCAGGCAATTGGTCAAGGCCAAGATGCAGCCTCCTGTGACAAAAAGCCAGCCTCTGGCCTCAGTCTGAGGGCAAGGAGATCACATGCTCTTGTTCTCTGATCTGTTTCTCAGGTGGCAGTGACAAAAGAAGACACTCTCCAGGCCGAGGCCCTGGTGCATGGCGAGAAGGAAGAAATCAATTTCCTAATTGGTACCATATACATCAGGTCAGATAATTTTCTTATTTCCTAGCCCCATCAACTAAAAATTATACCAGTGGGAGCCATGTGCAAGATGGGATGGTCACAATGAATGTCCCTGAGGGTACGGACCTTCCTGCATAAGACCCCCAGTCCTCAGGGTCTTGAACGTTAGGTGAGCAAATTTCTGCATTCTCACAGAAGCACAGGAGGGCTCAGAGAGGTGAAGCCCATGTCACAGCCAGACAGGGGAGGGCCAGGGTTAAATCAGGCTACATACCTGGCTCTAAAGTATGTGCCACTGACACCAGACCTACCCCACCAAGCAGCATGCATCCCAGTGGGTTATTGTGAAAGGAGGAACAGAGGACAGTCATTAATAGCATGGGATTCAAACTCACCCCACAATATGTAAAATTAATTACATACTTTCTAGCATAAAATTTTCCATTGCCTGTAATGGGGTCTGCAAACTTTTTCCATAGAGTTCCACGGAGTACATCTTTTTAGTTTTGTGGGCCATAGGGTCTCTGTTTTAAATCTTCAACTCAGCCAGGTGCAAAAGCAGCCATAGACAGTATGCAAATGAATGGGTGTGGCTGTGTCCCCATAAAACTTCATTTACAAAAACCAGTGGCAGACCACATTTGGCCATGGGCCATAACGTGCAGACCTCTTGTCTACACAAACACAAGGATGCACTTACACTCCTTCAGCAAAGATTGAGCACCCACTGAAGACCCCAGCACCATTCACTAGTGTAAGTCACTCTCACTTGCAATGTGACAGTGGCTTTTCCCCAGCAGTCGGCGACTACAGTCAGCCTGAGTCCAGCGGCTGCACATCCTTCTATCTCTCTGGCTGGGATCATGCTGCCTGGGAAATCCAACGTTCTTAAGGATGTTGTTGGATTGATGGCTGCTCTTAAGAGAGATGGCAGATAGTTGAGCAGCCATCTTCAGCAAGTGTGACATTTCAGTCAACTGTGGATTAACCTGGAGTCTCTCCTAATAGCCAAGTAGGGGGTGAGGGTTGAGGGCATAGGATGGCACACTGATAAAGGCAGAATTAGAATAGAGTGGATAACATTCATCACATTGTGAAAGTATTACTAGTCTATACAATTCGGAAGAGGATTAGAAATCTAGCAACTCTAATTAAATTTTTCTAGACATACTTAGGTGTTTGAAATTTTAAAATAATCTAGTTTTTTTTCCCCATCAGTTGTTAGAATTAATAAAATATAAGGTCAGAAGCTCTGGAGAGAGTGATGATCCCTTGCCTTAGTGTATCTGGGCTACTACGTCAAAATACAATAGCTTGGGAACCTTATGAACAACAGAAATGTATTCCACACAGCACTGAAGGCTGGGAAGTCTAAGATCAGGGAACCAGCAGATTTGGTGTCTAGTGAGGGCCCATTTCCTGCTTCATAGATGGCACTGTCTTTATCACCTTGGAGATGAGATATCAACATACGAATTTTGGGAGCGAACACAAACATTCAGCTCGTTAACAAACTTCTCTCACATGGCATGTACAGAGGGATGATATTTTACTTCAAGTCCTATGATATAATGTCTTGCATAAAGAATAAAGGAGTTCGATCAAACCAGTTCAAAAAAATATGACAGCAGGTGGAAATGGCTCATTCCCTCCCTCGGGTCTCTGCATGTAGTTGTTATGCGCAGCTCCATTTCCGTTACGCGGTAAAATGCCTTTTCTCTTCTTTCCCGCAGATGGATGGTTTCTAGTGTGCTTCCAAACCCCACCTCGGCTGAGTGTTGGGCAGCACTTCTACATGATCCTATGACTCTTGATATGGACGCAGTCCTGTCAGACTTTGTTCGGTCCACGGGGGCAGAACCTGGTCTGGCCAGAGACCTGCTGGAAGGTAAGCCCACCTCCATGTCCCCCACACCACTATTCTGGGCATAACCTCCTTCCAAACAAGATTTTCAATACCTGACAACAGTGATACTTGGATGGTATTTGGACTCTCAAAAGTGAAAGTGTTGGTGATAAAATTATTTTTGTTATTTTTATTTGGGGTATGAAATAAATCACCCAACTCCTGACAGTAAAATTCATGAAGCACTAATTGGGCTTTGCTTTTCCAACCAATATCGAGTCAAAATGTATTAACAATTATTATATTTAAGAAAATATATTCAATGGAGCAGAAATTCTAAAACATTCAAGAAAATACTTTTATGGGAGACCTTAGTTTCATATCTGTCTTAGCTAAGACAAAAATACCCTAGGCCAGGGTTGTTGGTGGAAAAAGCACCTACCATCCAGTAAAGTTGCTGGAAATAATTCACAAGTAAGAAGTCAGCCTTCATCCTCCTGCTTCTCACGGAGATATCATTTGCCGTGTGAGAGATGTGTATCATCTGTATATATGTTTTCAGAAAATTTATTCAGATATAATCATAGTGAACTAAAATTAAAGTTTAGTTTCTGTGTCTCTAAAATGGATTTACATTCTTTTTTGTTTGTTTGTTTGGTGGTAGCAGTGGTATGTAAATAAAGGACCAGTTACAACTTCTCAGGACAATCAGCTGTGTGAGAGGATAGACCTTTGCTTACTCTTTACTTCAAATGTAAAAATTGCAATTTGTGGAGTTAGTAAATATTTGGTCACGAACTGTAAGTCACAATGATTCTTTAAGTCACTTAAGGAAAATAAGCATTATTGTGCATTTGCAGAAGTGGAGAGAACTATTCAGTCATACTGAAAATTAACAACCACCTATTGGAGGAGTCTCAGAAAATGGAAATGGCAAAAGCATAGTTTTTAAATTTTCCCCAACCTCTCAGAATTTCAAACCAACTCCAAGTTTAGAATAAAATATGCTGAGAGTTTTGTGATCTGTGGAAATCAAACTATGATTCTCCCTTCCTGCTGTTTATATTATATAATATCTCCCTTTCCATTTCCATTCTTTTTGTTAACTGGGCAGCAGTGTGGAGAAGTGGGCTTGGAACGAGGTTGGCAGTGAGATCTGAGTTTGAGTTCAGATTCAGCCACTTATCAACTATGAGACATAGCACAAATTATTTAACTTCCCTTACCCTCAGATTTTTTTCTAGGTTGAGCTTAACCACCTTACAAGGTGACTGTGAATATTAGAAGTTGTGATATAAATTGTGTGATAAAGAAGCAGTATGTAGCAGATGCTCAAAAAAGTGTAGAAGACCATGGTTGAGGTGGCCATTATTGTAATTAGTATTAACATCAATATTGATGTCTGGACAGCCTTAAATAGGAAGCAAATATTGTCTCTTTATTTTTTTACTTATATTTTTCATATTAAGATACAGAAATACTGAGTTTTTTGTGTCTAGTTCCATGGACTTTAACACATGTATGGATTTGTGTTATTACTACCACTTTCAGGACACAGAAGTACTTCATCACCTCCAGATTCTCTGTCCTGATATATTTTATAATCAGACATCCCCTACCCCCAACCACTGGCAATTAGTGCTCTATTTTCTATCACTAGTTTTGTCTCTTTGCAAGAATGTCAAATAAATGTCCTGCAGAGCCTAATCTTTTGAAGCTGGCTCCTTTTCACTCCGTAAGATTATTTTGGGACTCACCAAGTCAAATGTCAGTAGCCCGTTCCTTTTTGTTGCTGAAGAGTATTCCATTCTGCAGGTATACCACAGTTTATTTATCCATTCATCTGTCCAGGTGCATTTCTGTTGTTTTCAATTTTTGGCAGTTATGATTAGAGCTTCTAGAAACGTTTAAGAACAGGATTTTGTGAATATACTTTTAAGTTTTCTAGGCTCAATACATGTTGACCTTGTAAGAAACTGCTAACCTGTTTCCCAGAGTACTGTGCCATTTTGCATTCCCACCAGCAATGTCTGAGAGTTCCAGCTGCCCACATCCGTGTCAGCACTTGGTATTTCTTCCTTTTTCGTTATTTCATTTTAACCATTTGATAGCTGGGATGGTATTTCTTCATGGTTTTAATTTTCATTTTCCTAGTAACTAATGATATTGAAAATTTTTATGCTACTTATTTTCTCTCTTTTTATTCTTTTTCATGAAATGTCTGCTCAAGCTTTTTGCCTATGTCTAAATTGAGTTGTTTACCTGAATTTCAAGAGTTGTTTATGTATTCTGAGCATAAATCCTTTGTTCAGATCCATGATTTGCAAATATCTTCTCCCAGTCTGTGCTTGACTTTTCAGTCTCTTACCAGGGCTTTTCACAGAGCACAGTTTTATATTCTCATGCAGCCCAACTGACTTTTTTCTGGCATAGATCATGCTTTGAGTGACATATCTGAGAAATTTTGCATAACTCCAGGTCATGAAGATTTTCTCCTAGTTGGTCTTTTAAGAGTTTTATATTTTCATGTTTCACATTTAGATCTACAATCCATTTGAGTTGATTTTTGTATAATATGTGAGCTTTAGGTCCAGATTCTGTTTTATGCATGTGCCTATCTAATTGTTTCAGCATCATTTATTGAATATATCTTTCTTCTTCCATTAAAATTGAATTGCCTTTGCATATTTGACAAAAAGCCAACTGAGGGTATTTGTAAGGAATAAATTTCCAGACAGTGGTTCGTTTCTGTTGATCATTATGTCTGTTCTTTTATCAATATTGCGCCATATTGATTTCTATAGATTTGTAATGAGTTTTAAAATCAGATAGTGTGATTTTTCTAAATTTATTTTTCTTTTTCAAACGTGTTTTAGCTTTTTTTTTTTTTTGCCTTTCCATGTGAATTTTAGGATCCGCTTGCCTCTAAACATCTAAAATAGAAAACCCACTGGATGAGCTCATAGATTTAATTTAGTTGTTAAATTTTTTTAATAAAATTTAGTTGTTAAATTTTTTCATTTCTAGTATTTCCACTTAGTTCTTCATATCTTCTATTTCTTTGCAAGAATTTCTGTATTTTTTAGGAGTACCCTCCTTTACTTGTACAATATTTTTAACAACTTCTTGAAAATCTTTGTGAAATAGTTCCAAACTGTTTTGCTGAGATTTTGACTACAATTTTAGTAAATCTACAAGTCAATCCTATGTTGTGTCTTTCAGTCCATGAAGGAGTGCCATAATTTCTATTTACTTGGGCCTCCATTAAGTTCTTTCATCAACATTTTATGGTTTTTGGCATATAGATCCTATACATGTTTTGTTATATGTGTATGTGGGGTGCGGTTGTGAGCTATTGTACATGGTATTTTTTAAATTTCAGTTTCTACTTGTTTATTGTTAATATACAGAAATATAATTGATTTTGCGTGCTGATCCTGTATCCTGCAATCTTGCTAAATCTAAACTCAGTTTGTTCTAGGAGGGCTCTCTGTGTGTGTGTGTGTGTGTGTGTGTGTATGTGTGTGTGTGCGCGCGCGCGCGCGCGCACATTCCTTGGGATTTTCTACATAGGTGATCATATTGCCTCTGAATAAGGACAGTTTTATTTCTTCCTTTCCAGTCTCTAGGTCTTTCTGGTTTTCTTGGCCTTTTTTCACTGATGAGGACTATTCAAAAGGTTGAATAGGAGTGTTAGAAAAGAAGATCCTTGCCTTGTTCTTAATCTCTGAGAAAAGCAGTCTGTCACCATTAAGTAGAATGTTGGCTGTAAGTTTTAGTAGATGGTCTTTATCAGGTGAAGGAAATTTCTTTCTATTCCAGGTTTGCTGAGAGTTTTATAATAAATAGATGCTGACTTTTTTAAATTAATAAACTGATTTTTTGGCTTTAAACTATTACTATACTAGATTAAACTGATTGCCTTCTAGTGGTAAACCAGACTTTCAGCCATTTTTTTCCATGTTTCTATGTTCTGCCTTTTTTTTCTTTCCTTATGGGACTCAGATGATAGAAAGCTCAGACCTTTTATTAACTAAGATCTTTATGGTTCTGCTCAAGTTTTTCAATCTTTGTCTGTTCAGATTCAATCATTTCTATTTATTTGTTTATTTATAAATTTACTACTTCCTCTGTCATCTTTATTCCATTAGTGAGCCCATCCAATGGGTTTTCTATTTTATTTGTTAAATTTTTTCATTTCTAGTATTTCCACTTAGTTCTTCATATCTTCTATTTCTTTGCAAGACTTTCAGTATTTTTTGAGAGTACCCTCCTTTACTTGTACAATATTTTTAACAAATGCTTGAAAATATTTGTCAAATAATTCCAATATCTGTTTCATCTCAAGAGTAGCTGTTGAGATTTCTCTGGCTTTTTGTATGCTGAGTATGCTTTCAGTATGCTAATTGTATCCTAGACACTTTAAATACTATGTTTTGAGATTCTGGTTATTATTAAAACCTTACAGTGAATATTATCATCTTTAGTTTAGAAGATAACCACCCCAAGTGGATTCAGACTACAAATTTCAAGTTCCCTCAAGACTTGTGTGGTTTGTGATTGCTGTGAAGTCTTTGAGCAGTGGATCTGTCTCACACAGGTGCCACCTAGTGGCCAGCCTGGGACTCTAGCAGTAGTCTAGCCCACATTTCAGCACTCAAAAGTCTACGTCATCTGTGTAGGGTCAGATCCGTACATGTAGAGCTCAAGGGTAAGCCCAAGAGTTCATGAGCAACTTTCAGGGTTGCACTCCCAAAGCCCTTCCTCGTTGTAACCTTCTCAGTAGTGTCTGGGTCCCTGGGCTTACCTTTTTGGCCCTCCAGCCAGCTTGGGTGGTGGAGGCTTGATCTACCCTACTCTCTGGTGCACTTGACCGCACTAAGTCGGAGCTAAGCAGCCAGACGCCAGAGAGAAAAAGCATGAAGGTTTTCCCCATCCTCTGGGGACCTCAGACGCTCTGGTTGGAAAGGAAGTTTGCCCGGCCTGATGACTTAATTCTCTGCCATTTCTTACTAGGGCCACAAAATTTCTGGGGCACAGAG